TCTTCCTACAGCTTGATAGTTATTTTTGACCTTTAAAGATAAGACTTAAATGATTCCAGGATCTCATCATAATAAGAAAACTAAATTTTTTAAAAAGCAAGCTCACTAAAGCATTCATTGATTTGTTTGAATTGAAAGCGATACTTTGTATCATCTCTATGCTATCCAAATGAGCCTCATCATAATCACTAATTTTCTAGTGCTTTCTCAATCTGTCATCTGATAGGTTTGTTGCTCTCCTCAGCTCAGAGTTTCACTCAAATCCCTGCTAATCCTGAAATTTAAAATTTGTTTTAAGTGCTGAAGCATATTAAGCTATTTCATTCTTTCTTTTTATTTTTCTTCAAAGTCTAAATGATGTTTTATTTTCATTATTTCAACTAAGATGGTCATGCATTTAAGTATTTTTATAACTGGATACATTCAATTCAGCCTGCCACGCATGACCTTGTTCTGCAAACTCTCCCACTGCTACACCATCACTATTTATGAAGCTGATGTGTGAGTTACCAGAGCGGAACACACACACAGACACACACACACACACACACACACACACACAAACACACTCATACTCACATACCCTTTAGGATGTCTCTTATTAAAGATGCTAGAGTTTGCCTGTGAAAGGCAGAAAAATAAAGACAAAAATTCAAAATTCATTATTCAAGATTGATCCCTATACAACAATGACTGAGATTCTAGAAGGTCTTGCTTATTTTCATGCAGTCCCTTAGAGGTGTCATCTCAGAAATATACACCAGAAAACTAAATATTTTTTAATGTCTCACTAAAGAGACTGTGTATTTGTACCATTTCACCCCTCCCAAGGGCAGGAAGAGACCAGTTCCAAGGTTCCATTCCCAGTAGAAGAAATGAGTTGTATTTGCTCTCTCTAACAACGACTAGGATTGCCTGATGCCATAAGGCTTGCTTCCATTTCAGAAGATTAGAAGACAGTTCATATACCATACTACAACAGGTCTCTCAAAACAAACTGAAATGTTTCTAGAAATGTCTTAGCAAACCAATAGACCTACTATCCTCTACATTCTCTTCCTTTTTAAACCACCTTTCCTTTCTTCACTTGTTTTCCCCCATACACACACACACAAGCATATTTTCATTTACATACACGTACTAAGCCATAAACTAAGTAAACCAGGATGCCAATGAATGCAGATTTCACCTTGCAATTTAAAAGATACCTGGCATCACTAGTTCTACAAGTTCTCTGTAAATAAGAATATATACTCCATTTTTGCCTCCTCAAATTTGTGCACAAAGCAACAAGATCCACATAAATGACTTACCGACCCTAGGTGACATATAAATAATGATATTCAATTTCTCTAAAATATGAGAACCTAAATTCCAATTAGCTGAACCACTACATCCTCTTTACCTTCACTACCAAACTACATTCAAAATCACATTCCCTGTAGTTTCTAGAGCTCAGAATGTTCAAATGTGGCTAGGTTTGTGCACTGATAGAAAAGTCACTTATAGGGCTCCAGTCTCTGGACTAGAGCCTCAGCTTCAGAAAAAAACCCAAAACAACATAAAGTGACCTTCAATTTAGTACCACCAAAATTTGAGAGTTTAACAGTAAAATTATATATAAATGATGGCAGGACTGTCACAGAAAGATAAGGGAATACTAAGAAGCCAGCAAAGTAACCAGTCATTAGAAACTCTCTTATATTGTTCGGCGGTGAATTGTTGTAGGTGATCTTAGCTTCCCAACTAGAATATGAACTCTCTGAGGGCAAAGTTACATCTTATACTTATTTAAAATTTTCGTGGTACCTGGTGTATACAGCTGAGTACCGTTGAGATTATAAAAATGTTTAATGATTCGATCTAATGTCATGGTGATAAACTTAAGTGGAACAAAGGGGAAGTAGCATATAGTAAGCAGGCTCGGTAGTTGTAACTCCACTGATAAAAAATGCCATTTTGAGTAAGGCCTATAACTGACTCTGCCGATAATGAAGCTCCCCCTTCACTTTGTGACAAACGGTAGCTCAGCAGAGGAACCTAATGTGTTGTGACCTTTGGTCCCAATCTGAAGGGTAAAAATTTAACAAACGCTCAAGAAATAGATGTTATCCTGAATTGAAATTACCTGTTTACTTGTCTGTTTCCATGTAAGATCTCTGGGGTCAAATATCAAATGCTTTATTTTTCTATCCCAGGCAAGCAGCAAACATTCTAAATATGCAATTAATGTTAGTGGGTTGAATTTATGAAAAAACGAAAAAATGTTTTTTTGAAATAATATGAAGGACAATGTAAATAACTATACAGTTTAATAGAGAAATTTCCATAGAATTGCATACTTTTCACATCGTAGCACTTACCGTTCAGTGATAGAATTGCTCAATAAATGTTTTCCTAGATGAACTAATTAATTAATTAAAAAAATTAAGAGGTATACATCAGTATATTATTACCCTAGGAATCCCACAATACACTACGTTAGAATTTAAAATGCAATATTGCAAATCACCTATTTATGTTTTTGTCTCCCCATTAGAACGTGCATTCATTGTCTGTTTCATCACTATAACTCTGGAGCCCAGAGCAGTGCCTTCCAAAAGAGGACACTTGACAAATGTCAGTTGAGTGAATAAATGACTCATTCCTACTCTTCTATAGATTTCATTGGACCTAAGTATCCTATTCAGTCCACATTTGCAGGCTTCCAATATACGCGGATAAAAGGAAAACAGTCATTTTCCCCATGCAGATAAAGGTTTGTAATAGATAAAGGTTAAATGGCCTGGTCTGTGTTCAGCACTGAGTATGTCTGTCCCTTTTCTAAATGGGTTTTACATTGAATTCTCCAAGACCATGTATTGAAGATATACGCTTAATCTCACATTGTCTAGTACATGCTGTCTTACACCTACTGAGCCCTAAGTATCAGATCTATGCGATTTTGTTACACAAGGAGAGAATTTGGTTTTGTGAGTCAAGAAGAGCATCAGAACTGAGACCTTAGCTTTTCTATGTAATTGAAGCATTACTTCGTTCATTTTGCCATTAGGGTAATCTCACAAAGGATATCAAGATCTTAGGTAAATCATACAGTTATAGTCATATGTCTACTGCCATGTATTTCATAGGCACTGGGGATCACATTTCCCTAGTGCCTTGAACTGATTGTATAAATGATAGCTGTGCCCTTTGATTCAATTCTTTTGTCTATCTCCCCAAACAGCAGCACTATCAAAAATTAAATGCCCAACCTTGACATCTTTCACCTCCACTGCTTAATGGCCAGAATGAATAGTCCGCCCACACCATTTGTAAGTCTTATCTGTATAGAGCCAGACTAAATTTATCTTTGGTTACAATACAGGTGCCTAGGGAGACATATTCAGGTGTGCAGGCCATTGCTAATAGCGATTCCCCAATTGTCTACTAAAATATTCCACCATTTAGGGGCACCTATGCATAAGACCTTTTACATTACACAAGGGCATATTCTTTCGAATAACACTGAATGGCACTATACCCATATTATAGATGATGAAACAGAGTACGAAAAATTCGATAGCAACAGGCTATTCTACTACATAGCACTATATTTTTATCTCCATTGCTAAATTATAAGTAGTCCACATGTAATACTCCAAGTAGTCTATGGTCTAGGTTCTAGTAGTATTGAGGGATATTAATTACACTTGAACCTAACTGGCACAATACTAGACTTTCAGTACAACATTACTTATAGAGTTATATTGGTGCTTTTGTTGATAGCAGTACATTAACAGTGTTCAGTAAATATTGCTTTTTTGTCCCATTAGTTCTGGTGAAAATTATATTTTAGGAACTAGGAAATCAATATAAAAATATAAGGCCATTTTCTGAATGTGATAACCTGGGTATATCAGGGTGAATTATTTCTGAGGCAGGAATGTATCACTGAAATAGCACTCACTGGGAAATACAGAACGCTGTGATATATTCTTCTCTCTCTTGATGACTTGCTCTGTGAGTTTCACCAAGTCACTTAGCATCTCTGGACCACTGTTTCATAATCCACTAAAAGTAAATCTATCAAGATGTCTGATTGGGAATATCAAGAAAATAGTTGTGAAGCTATTTTTCCAACTTTCCAATATCCCTTTTATTTATGGCATGGAAGAGAGTATACATTCTCACTGCATCAAATTTCTAACCAAAAAGGGACTTAAGTAATTCATACAAAATGAGATCAACTTAAAAACTATTACTTGTAGCCTTCCACCCATCCACCATCATCTGCTTATCACCCTCCCACCCTGCAATATTTCAATAGCCATCAAACTTCAGACCACATTGTTTTTCTAAAGAGCTTCCATTTGAAAACATCTGTTCACAGTAAAGAGAAACTCAAATACACAGCTACTTCCTAAAATATCCATATTAGTAACAGCTTCGACCTCCTCAAATCTCACACATTATTACGAGAACTGCTAAAAAGTGACTTTTTAAATGTTGCTTGCTGCCCATTAACCAGCTCATCCATATTCTTGGCAAGATGCTGTCAAAGAGAAAAATGGTGTGAAGAGGTAAAAAGCAAAGTGGGCTTTAGGATGCTGAATTCTTACATGATGAACCCCCCCATACATACCCCAGCATGAGAGGGTTCCACTTACTTTTAGTACCACTGGGTGACTTGATCAAAACGACTTGAACTGGCATACTGGTAAACTGACTGTCCAGCATGCCATGTTTGCAATAGCTGATGCAAGCTCAGACAGCTTGGGTTCCCATTCCCAACACCAAAAGCCAATCAAAAGATCTATACATTGGGTTACCACACCCCCACCCCTACCCTACCCCTGCTCCCAAGAATCCCTAGTAGCAAACCCTAAGTGTGAAAATGGGCTGAGGCAGGAAAGTTCTACAAACCCTGTGGGGATGTGCGGGAGAGCAGCCTATGGTGTAGCAGGGAATTCAAAAGGGAGACCTGAGAAGGCCTCACAGAGCTACTTGTTTGCACTCACCTCAGGCAGAGGCACACCATTGATGATTAGATCTGGTTGCTGGGGGCCCTGGCTGTCGAAAGAGTGATGGTAGATGTGGCTGGCAGTCGGATTTCGGGTATTCTGGTTCTCCACATTCAGGAAAGTGCTCTCAGAGCGGCGGCAGCCCAGGGGCAGGGTCTGCTGGTGGTAGTCGAAATAGTTGAGGGAGGAAGTCAGGGAGGAGCAACTGACAACATTCATTTTGTCTGTCTCTTCCACATCCCGAGGCACCAGACGAATGTCATTTTTACTGATTTTTTTCTTCTTACTTGATTTCTTTTGATGCCCATAGGAGTACTCAGCAATTCTATGTGATAGAAAAGGCAGCATGAATCCACAACGCCTTCTTAAATCATACACTGACTAATAAACATTAAGTACCCCAGAGGGTTGCACCCCAATTTTCCTCCAGCCCCTTATTCTGGCGCATTACATCATCGGATTTCTCCCTGTTCTTTTCACATAAGAAAACAAGCTGAGGACCATGAAGTTCCCATA